TAGGCATGAATGAGAGAAGTAAGAAAGAGAGGGCTCCTTGGGAATCATGTGGATTCATTTAGTGAGAGTTGGGCACCTGAAAAGGGGATGAAGGGCTTTGGAGTGTAATCAGATCGGACAGGTTGTTGGCTTCCTTAAAAATGTTGCTGCAGACCTTTCTTTGTGCTATGGACTATGGTAGATGCTGGAGACAGAGCTACAAAGAAGACACAGCCTGCTGTGCCCTCAGGAAGCTTATCATTCAATGAGGATAATGCAGTTTAATGAGAAGGAGAGCCAGCAGATAGCACACAAGAGATTAGAATTCTTGGACTGCAAGCAACAGAAACCAACTTAAGATACCAGTACTGTATTGGAAGGTTGTGCAACAACACACAGAATCCACAGGAAGGCACAGGGACCGTGTCTAAGGAAGTCCACAACCCAAGAGTCATTTGATTCAGTGATGTAATTTCCTCCCTGGCTGTCCTGTCTTTGTAGGTGTTTGCCATTTGGTTTTGTACTTGATATGCCAGTGAGATAGGTGGAGCTTCACCTTGGGACACAGGGTGGGGGAATGCTGTGATGCTCTGGAGAGCACTAGACTTGATCAGAATTTTCCAAACTGACAGCAAAGAGAGAGGTTCATGGGTCCTCCTGACCAAAGTTACTAGCTCAAGAATAAAATAAATTCCAAAAATACTGCATCTTCTATTCCTCCTGGGGATATTTTTTTCATGTTATTATAGGATATTGCAAAAAAAAAAAAATCTGTTTAATGGCTAGTGAGTCAAAATTTCTTTCTCTTAGGGAGGAGTTTACCTCAACGTTTTAAAGTGTTGTCACATATATAAAGTTCAATCTCGTCATAAATCCTGACTCCTAATTCTAATACGCACCACAGTCATAACGCAATAGAGCCAGATTTCTATTAAAACCAAGTCAGAAGAATTCTACTCGGTTGTACTTATGATTGTTTGCTCATAATGATATCCTAGTAAGAATATTGACCTAGTCAATATTAACTAATGGATGGTATTAAAACTTTCAACCCACAACGGTCCATGTAGACCTTGTGCACTGGAAGCAAAATATTGGCTATATCAGTCAAGTTACACAGAGAATTTGAAGGTTCAAGGGACCAGTGGGAGGCTTTTTGGCAAAGGAGTTAGGGAAAGGGAAATGAGCACAGATGGGCAGGTGAGCCCCTCCTTGGCTTGGTATCTGAGACTTAGCAGGAGAGGTTCAGGATGGCACAAGGATCAGTTTCTAGAGAGAGGAGAGAAAGGTTGAGGAGTTGAGGTGTTCCAGCTCACACCTTTCTAGTATGAGTACTTGTGTGTCAAGGGTGGGTAGCAGGGGTAGGGTTGGGAGCATTGACCATGAAGAATGATGGGCGGGCCTGGGAAGAAAAAAATATGAAGATTAATGAGCAGTGCTGAGAGCTCAGCTAAAGCTAGAATTAATAAATATGTGAAGGAGTCCCTTGTTACGGTCAGCAATTTTCCCCACTGCTGGTTGACAACACAGGGACAGTTTAGAAAAGATGGGGGCCAGCATTGTGGTGTAGTGGTTTAAGGCACTTCTTGCAATGTTGTGAGAACCAGTTCAAGTCCCCGCTGCCCCTCTTCCAATCTGGCTAATGCCTGGGAAGGCAGCAAAAGATGGCCCAAATTGTTGGCCCCATGTGGAAGACCCATATGGCATTCGAGACTTCCGGCTTTGGTCTGGCCTAGCCCATTGTGGCCATTTGTGGAGTGATTTAATGGACGAAAGATTCCCTTTGCCGTTTCTCTGTTTCTCTGCCTTTCAAATAAATAAAATTAAAATCTAAAATAAAAATAATTATAAAATATGGAAGATTAGAATGATTCATTGTTACAGATTGGGAGAGCAAGTAGCACAACAAAGAAGGTGATGATGATGATGGAGGAGGAGAGAAGAAAACAGCAGCAGCTTCTATTAAATGATTGGTCCTTGGTCCCAGGGAAAGTTTGGAAGAAAGTACAGTCAAGTACACCCAGGGGGGTTGGAAGACACTTGTAGTGAATCTGAGGTGAGGTGAAGGTGTAAAGGAACTGGGCTGTAATCTGTCCTTTCCTAGGTCTGCCATTACAAATCTCCACAAACGAGGTATCTTAGAACCACATGGCTTGACACAGTCACAGTTCTGAAAGGCAGAAATATCTGAAACCAAGCGGCCCACAGCTCTGAGTAGGCCCTGTGTCTGTCTCCCAGTTTCCAGTGGCTTCTCAGCAGATTTAGGGTATCTTGGCCGGAGTGCTAATTCTGGCATGACACTCTGCCTCTGTCTTCAGGTCATCTCTTGCCTTCCGGGTCTCTTCTTCCCTTTAGTTGGATTGAAAGCTCACCCAAATCCAAGATGACCTCGCCCCTAAATCCGTAATCATATCTGCTAAGACTTGCCTTTTTCTAAAGAAAGTCATCATGGGCTCAAGTTCGACTTATCTATGTCATGGGCCAACACTCCACCCTCGGCATCGTCATAGTCAAGCTACACACAGGCTGGAGAAGTCATTCGAGCTGATTTCTAAAACAGCTGTTATTTCTACAAAACAAAGCGATTGCCCCCAAGGAAGATGTTCTTAATGTATCTGGGCAGATATCTCTTGCCAGCACATACGTCAATGGTTTACTTTGTGTTTTTGAATGTGTCACAAGCGCAGTCACATTTTCAAGTGGTGGAAAGGGTTATATAAGTGTTTCTCACTGATCCTTGTCTAGTTCTACACCCACCTCAATCTCCTGTTCAGAAGAAACTACATTGATTTCATTGATGATTTTTCAAACATATACATGGTTCATCTTGCCTTTTTGTTTGTTTAAAACTAATAAGTCAGGGTTTCTAATGGTATATGTGGTATCTCTTACTTTTTTTTCATTTAAAACTATTACAATCAGGGGTCGACATTTGGCACGGTGGCTAAGATGCAAGTTGGGGCACCTGTATCCCATATTGAATTGCCTGGGTTGGAATCCCAGTTCTACTTCCAATGCCCATTAACATGTACCCCGGAAGGCAGCTGTGATGTTTCCCAAGTATTGGGAAGCTACCATCCACATAGGAGGCCTGGACTGAGTCACAGGATTCTGATTTCAGCCTGCCCCAATGGGTTGGAAAAGCTCTCTCTGTGTGTGTGTGTGTGTGTGTGTGTGTGTGTGTGTAACTGCCATTCAAATAAAGTTGACAATTCAATGCTTAAAACTATTTAAGAAAAATAAAACAAATACAATCATCCCTCAGTATTCATGAATGAATGTATGGTTTCAGGATGCCCCACAGGCATAATAAAAATGGCACAGTGTTCACAGAAAATCTATACCGTCCTCTCACATAATTTCTGTTCTAGAGTCTGTTTATTTCCATTTGTTGGAAAGACAGAGAGAGAGATTTTGCTGAGAGGAGGTATTAGGAGCTGACCACTGTCCTGGCACAGGAAATAAAGAGTCTTGTCTATTGAAAAGTTAGTAATTAAACTGAGTTAAGCCATTCTGCTTTTGCAAAGCTTATTATGATGCAAGCACTGTAATGTATTAGATAAAGCCATGCTTAGAGCACCAGCATCCGTTATGAGCACCGGTTTGAGTCCCAATTACTCCACTTCTTCTGTCTTTCATTATTTTTTTAACACTGAAACTTTAAATTTAATGTTAAAGAAAATATAAAATTCTTCTCTTTTGTGTACAAGTATCTTATCCAGGTTACCCCAGTTCAGTTGGAGGGGTCTGGGATATGGATGTGGAAAAACTCAAGTATTTGACATCTGTATATGTATGAAGAAGTTGAGCTGGGCAATCTGACTACATGGAATCAACCATGAGTCACAACTGTTAGCTTAAAACCATCACCTGACCATGGACACACTAGATCAACTTGTCTTGGCTTCAACCGCTTAGAAATACAGAATTTTTAGAAAATGTTCCCAACAAGCTTGAGACACAGGAAGTGAGAGGATATACATCCGTAGCTATTTGTGGAGAGCAAAGCAGGAACTTGCACTTTGATGTTTGCTGGTGTATGTGCTCATGTACTGAGGGATTCAAGGGCTCACATATCTAGGGCTGCTTCACCTCTGACCCAGCTCCCTACTAATGCGTCTACGGAAACAGTGGAGGATGGCTCAGGTGCTTGAGGCCCCTATCCATGTGGGAGACCCAGAAAAGGCTGCTGGCTCCTGCCTTCAGCCTGGCCAAGCCTTGGCTCTTAGCACCATTTGGAGACTGAACCGGTGCAAGTACAATCTCTCCCTGCTCCGCCTTTCCTCTCTCTGTAACTCTGCCTTTCCTATAAAGAAATAAATCTTTTTTTTTGTTTGTTTGCTTACTTATTTTTTATTCATTTGAAAGAGAGAGGTTCCACCCCACTGATTTACTCCCCAAATGTCCACAACAGTCAGCACAGAGCTAAGCAGCAACCAGGAGCCAGGATCTCCCTCCATCTGGGTCTCCCAGGTATGTGACAGGTGCCTGAGCACTTGAGCCATCTTTGCTGCTTCCCCAGGCACATTAACAGGATGCTGGCTCACAAGCAGAGCAGCCAGGACTTAATTAGGTTCTCCCAAATGGGAAGCCAGGTGATAGCAGCATCAGTATCAGTGAGTAGCCCACTGCACCACAACACCAGTCTCTTCAAACTATTTTGAGTTGCTTTGGCGTTGATTGCTCCGATGCAGAACCCACAGATAAAAAAGGGCCAACTGGTGTTGGAAATCGTTCCCACAGATCCACACGCTGGCTGTTCCATGGGCTGACTTACGTGATCAGTGTTTAGGATGTCTGCCATCTTGAAGTAAACCTGGGAAACAATCTTTTCTTTTTAAGTAAAAAAAAAAAAAAAAAAAAAAAAATTAAAGCAGGTTCCTCACTCGGAGATCCCCCAACGAAGGGCTTCTGCACAAAAGGTGGAGAGAGATGGTGTCCCGTGCCCGAGGCCTGAGGTCTGACGGTTTGTTGCTTTTGCTTTCCCCTGTCTCCTCCTCTGCTCCCCTCACCACCTCCAGGAGCCTCATGCCCAGGACCCTGGATACACAAATCACCCTGGAAAAGACCCCCAGCTACTTCGTCACGCAAGAGGCCCCTCGCCGCATCTTCAACATGTCGCGACACACCAAGCTGATCGTGGTGGTACGGAACCCCGTGACCCGCGCCATCTCAGACTACACCCAGACGCTGTCCAAGAAGCCGGACATCCCCACCTTCGAGGGCCTCTCCTTCCGCAACCGCACGCTGGGGCTGGTGGACGTGTCGTGGAACGCCATCCGCATCGGCATGTACGCGCTGCACCTGCAGAGCTGGCTGCAGTACTTCCCGCTGGCACAGATCCACTTCGTCAGCGGCGAGCGGCTCATCACCGACCCAGCCGGCGAGATGGGGCGCGTCCAGGACTTCCTGGGCATTAAAAGATTCATCACGGACAAACACTTCTACTTCAACAAGACCAAAGGATTCCCTTGCCTGAAAAAAACAGAATCCAGCCTGCTGCCTCGTTGCCTGGGCAAATCCAAGGGGAGAACTCATGTACAGATTGACCCTGACGTTATAGACCAGCTCCGGGAATTTTATAGACCTTATAATATCAAATTTTATGAAACAGTCGGTCAGGACTTCAGGTGGGAGTGAGCTACCAACATACAAAGCCTCCTTTGCGGGTTTCGCTCTCAGAGCTTCCTCTCCTTGTTCCCGCCACGCCCAGGCTCCGTCTCCCTTTCCCAATTCGAATTCCATCATCCTGGAACTCAGACGCCCAGTGAAGGCCAAAAGACCACGGGATCCCCACCACCAGCTCCCGGCAGTCTCTCTGGGCAAAGCTTAGATATGCTTCTGGCCTGACCCGGAAGTTCCAGAATCTTCTTCCTGTCTGGGCCCTCCGAGGCCTCGGCAGAGGGAATTGCGTTAAGAGTGGGTCTCCCACAGTGACAGGAATTCTCCATGGTGACCGTGCTGTGGCTGTGAACAGAGCGGTCTGTCCCTGTCCCTGTCCACCCAGCAGGCGGATTGCCGATTCCAAGCAGCGCATCCCTTCCCTCTGAGCTTAATCCTCCTTCCCCGCCTCCAAGGGTCACCCTGGGTGGTGGGCTGGCAGACCATTTTCATTCTCCCCAGATCCTGGTAGCTCTCCGAGAGCTTGCAGGGCTGGAAGTAGACACCGCTCCCCGCCCATCCCCACCCCCACCCCCGGCTGCTCCCAGGGCACAGAGCCTTGGCAGAGAAGGCAAAGCAGTGATTTCCAAGCCTGTGGTCTCCACGGTGCTTGAAGGAGACTGTCTTTGAGCAAAACTTTGTCGACTTCTCCCCACCCCCACCCAGTCCCTGTGGACAAAAGCACATACTTCTGCTGTTACGGGTACTTTCCTCACGCGAGCTTTCACGTTCAGCATGCAACCGAACCATGCTTGTCCATGTGAAATAAATACGGCTCTTGAAGGCTGAGCTCTCGTCTGGCAGCTGGGGGATGCAGTCACACATTCACTCAGCTCCTGCCGGTGCTGTCTGGGGGTGGTTGCTGAATGCTGTAAGCTGTGCACTGCATGGGGTAGAGAGCAGGGTGGAATGGAGAAGCAGGTGGTGGAGATGGCCAAAGAGGTTCTGACAGAAAGATTACATGAAGACCTGACGGGCTGATCCCTTTCTGGAATGTTCTTTTCTATAGACTAGAAGTACCAGACTGAACATCCAAGGTCTGAGGGGACATCAGATATTATTTTTTGTTTGACCAGTGATTTGGGAAACCACTGGCAACAGTTAAGATCTGGCAAAAGTTACATAAATATATGGATTTTCGGCTTCTTTTTAAAAATAGGAACTTGGCTGCACTCAACCTGCAGTCCGGCTTGGAAACCCTTGGCAGACTGCACTGATCTAGGTTTCGAGCTCCCACCAAGCCCCACCCCTCCCCAGCACCCTTTTATGTCATCTACATGGCCCCAGTAGGAGTCTGGATTTCCAGTACTGTCTGTGTGTATCTGTAACCTCAAGATAAAGCCTGAATCCCCCAGTGTGGTGTCCACCATGATCTCCCACCTCTGCTCACTCATCCTCTGTTCCCAGCTCACACAACCACGTGCCTTTCTCTGATTCCTTCAAAGCCACATAACCTTGTCCATGTCAGTTCCCTGCCTCATCTCCAGCAGACAGAAGCCTACCTTCCCTCTAAGACTTTGCCCAATTACACCTGCTTGAGATGTGTGATGCTGTCCCCTGCTCAGCTGAAGTTATCTCCCCGCTCTTCCATCTCCATTTGGTAGCTTGTGTGTGAGTTACTAACAGCTTTTTTCACACTCAATTATAATTATTAGTTAAATGCACCTGCACTGGAGACCATAAACCCCTCAAGGATTAAGGTTGTATATCTTGCTGGCCTGGGAGATGTCTGTCAGATGAATGGATAAGTGGGTGGATGGATGTTGGAGGCCTTGGGGACAAGGACCAGGATGTCCCAAAGGGCTGTATGTCTTGAGACACACTTGCCTGGTGGCACTGCTGACATGTGACTGGAGCTCCCAGGACCTCCCTGCCATGGTCTGCTCTATCAGGCATGAAACAGAGGCCTGGAAATCACAAGGGTCAAGGACAATAGTCAAGAACGTGAGTTCTGTGTCTCAGCCCCTCTGCCTGACTCAGACACCCTCCCGGGGATCAAACGCTTGGGACCCTGTTGTCAAGAAGTCATTTGGAGGATTCTGTCCCTCTGGGTTTCACCTAGCGGGGGGGGGGGGGGGATAGAGAAGTGACAGAGAAGAAACGGAGAGTTGTCACCACGCCCCTGGCTACCAGAAGGATAGGTTATGTGCAGCGCTAACTACATCTGCATCCAAATTATTTGGTGTCCCGAGACCCTGAGCCATGGGTAGCCAAAGCTGAATCCACAGGGAGACAGAAGCAGAATGGCACATACCAAGGAAAAGTGGGTGAAGTGTGCCTGTGTAGGCTGGTTGGGAAGATCACCCCCATATCAGAATTGACAAAGAGTCTGAGTTTTAAGTGCACTTGGACAAGTGTATTGCCCTGTGTGTACAAACCTAGGCTGAGTAAGTCCCCTCCTGTTAATGGGTGTATCCATCATTCCATGCAAACGAAAGATGCTGAAAGACCTTACAAACTTCAGTTTTTAAACGAGCGGAACCTGGAATTCGAGCTCAGCAAACTGATTTTTAATCCAGCGCAAATGGACCCTTTTGCCCAGGCCGCCGCAGGCAAACTTGCACAAGATCCAAATTAGCATGGCTTTAAATAGATGAAGTTTGACTATTCAACCTCAGTCTAAAGAGGCGTGTGTGTGTGTGTGTGTTTTAGATTGCTGAAACAGATTCCCCAAACAGCAGTGCCTTACAAAACTGCAAGACTGAAGAGTGTCTCTCTGGCAAACAGCCAGGGAGGGGCACCAGCGCCACGAACTCCAGCTCACTGGTGCTCACGCTTCCAGATGGTTCATCCCACATCTGCGTTCCACTCAGCAGGAAGGGAGTGTTGAAATAAATGAAGACCACCCTGAGGAGTGTGCACAGGGCAATTGATTCAGCCCTTGCAAGAACAGGGAGTCTTGTCATTGGCAAAGGCTCAAAGGCAAAGGAAGAATGGGAAAGCTCTGGAGAGGAGCAGAGGGAGGCTTCAGGTGCGTCCTGGTGGTGATGACCTGGGAAAGATGCACCCGGGCTAGCTGGAAGTCTGGCATCTCTTACTATTGCTTTGGGATCTGTTTGACTTTGTGTTTTGGGTACTGAGTTGGAAACACTGACAAAAAGGGAGGAAGCTGCTCTTTCCCGATGGGTCCCTGTTCTGGGCCAGGTGCTACAGAGCTCAGGGGTCAGAGTGCCATTGCCATGTGGACTGCCCACTGTCTCTTCACATCTTCCAAATCCCCAAAGGGGCCAGGGAACACACATTCCCTCACTGGAGGCTTCACTGCTTCTATTCACAGCTTCCTCATTGTGAGTGGAGCCCCCTTGTGGTTGTGCAAGGGTACCGCTTGCACACATCCTCTTGGGGAGAACTTATGGTACCGCTTCACTCACATCCTCTTGGGGAGAACTCAGTCCTTTGATCATGCTGAGATGTAAATGAGTCTGCGAAATGTAATGTTTTATTTGGGTGATCCCAGGATCAAACACATGCTCAATGCCTTTTAAAACAAAGTCAAGTGCATTTCATCTGATGATGCAATAAAGACACATCATGAAGTGTTCCACTTACCTAAATGCAATTCTCTCCCCTGAGAAAGACAAAGAGAGAGATGATTTGAATAAGGTGAGCACTTGGGTCTGCTGCTTGGCCTTGTGAACATAAGCTACAGAATAACCAGAGAAAGAAGGCACAGCTCCTCTGACATTTCATTTCCCACGTGTCCTTCACAGCATGGATTTGGGGCCTCATTTATTACTATCTGGATCTTGATTAATATTCAAGTTGAATATGCTTGATGGCTCCTACATGCAAGCCGTGTACCTCCTGGGACACTCCACTGGATGAACAGAAGTCTGCGGCCATGTGGGAGGTGCAGCAGCTTGAGTGCCTGTGTCCCTCCCAAGTTCATGTTGAAACTTCATCTCCACGGCAATGGCTTCAAGAGCAGGCGCCCTGGGCTTTGCCTAATGGGTGGGATCAGCACCTTGGCCAGAGGCCTCGAGGGTGGGAGTTCTGACCCCAGTTCCCTTCCATCTCTCCTGCATGGAAAAACTCAGGGTTCAGGCCTCCAGAAGTAGAGAGCAAGCCTTCATCAGATTCCCAACGTGCTGGTGCTCTGAGCTTAAGCTCCCGAACTAGATAAGTCAGTTTCTATTCCTGATACATCATCCAGTCTGTGGCTTTTTGTTACCACAGTAGGAATGGGCAGAACATTGTAGAGATAGTGCTTTTCTAAAACGTTTTCTTATTTGCTATTTATCAGAAAGAAAGAGAGAGAGCACGTGCACACTCATCCACTGATTCATTCCCCCAAATGTAGACAATGGCTGGGCTTAGGCCGGGGTCAAAGCCAAGAGCCAAGAGAGAATTCAAGGTCTCCCCTGTGGATGGCTCAGCTCCCTGAGCCATCACCTGTACCTCCCAGGGTGCACACAGGCAAAGGAAGCTGTAGTCAGGAGTGCAGCTGAGTCTTAAATCCACCCGCTCAAACAGGGGGCCTGTGGTCTTCATCAACGTCTTGACCATTAAACTCGATGCCTCCTGCCCCAAGACCTCTTGGGCTTACAATACAATCACTGCCCCTTACACACACTCAGACTACAAGAGTGAGGCTCAAACCATGAGTGAAAAGTGGTGAGAGCAAACCATATCGGACACGAAGGAGTATGGTAACTTCTTAACGCCTCCTTCCAGCTTGCTAGAGGGAGCATGTTGCTAGCACACCTTCCTCAGTCAAGAGTGCTTGATGGATCGGCACCCCAGGAGCCTGTGTGTGACTGACAGCTACTTCACTCCACACGTCTGCAAGGTGCAGGGATGTGCCTGGGTGACTGACAAGCGTCTGGCTGATGTACAGTCTGACCAGAACATGATTGACTGCATGTGGGTAATTGGATCATGGCTGAGTGCTGCGTGCTTTGACAGCCGTGGCCCTCCCCCGCACACCTCTGGCTGGAGCTTGTCTGGGGAGCACCAGGCTGATAGACAGCTGCCACCACTTGTCGATGGGCCTGCCCCTCTGCCTGCAGAAGGGCACTGAACCTAGAAGGAAAGTTGCTTTGTAGTTTGTAGCCACACTTGTGAACCTGACTCCATTCTCCTAGGCTGAGCATCTGGCCATTCTCAGAGACAGCTTGGGTCGTG